CTGCTTTCTCAGTCCTGTATTATGTGATATTTTTTGCCTCATTCTCAAGACGTGCTCTTATTTTATTATCTGTTCCTAGAAATATCCTTCATTGCCTGGGGAGCATCAAAACAGGGAATTTCTGGTGTTTCTTAACTGTCTCCCTTCTGGTGAATGAAGGGTCTTAGATAGTCCTGAAGAGCTGGGACCCTCTTTGGGCCTCCTGATTTTTAACAGACCCATCTGCCTCCCCCAGCAGTGATTTTGTTTTGAGTCAGGGTACTATGAAAAGCTTGGGGGGTTGCCTCTTGAAAAATGGTCTAAGCCTCCATTACTTCTTGGTAACTGCCAATCTAGCTTGATATGATAGAATATCAGAGGGCAGCTTCTCTATGTACTGCATAGTGTCTGGCACCTAGTCATTCTTATGAAATATTTTTTCTAAATGAACTGCTCAAAGACAGTAAAGATCACTTTGCAAACATCTTGACAGACCTGTAAACAAAGTGAAAAAGGCAGTGAAGATGAAGGAAATATTCTCTTCAAGTGTTCTGCCACCTTTTTTTGGGCACTGTTACATTTACCCTCCAGTGTTCCTGGTGTGGTTATTTCAAGTGCTTCACTAACCCAAATACAAACTGCTTACTGGTCCTTCTCAGGAGGACAGGACCCTGCTTCTTTTGGGAGACAGCTTTCACCTCCAGTACCATCTTGATACTGGGGAGTGAATGATATCTTCAGAAATTACCAGCCAGAGCAGAGAGAACTATGCACGCATCCAGAAAATCTCTGTGTTACTTGACAGCAGTCCTTGCTTGGCAGGGGCAAATGAACCCCAGCAACATGCACAGATTGGGTACCAGGGTGCAGACCATTCAGAAATGTCAGATAAAAAGCAAGGTTGTTCTAGGAGAGACACAAGAGAGTAGGGGATGTCTTAAAGCTGTGCTGTCTTTTGGAATAGGAATGGTACCTGTTTATGTTGAAAAAGCTATTCTTATGATACATTGGTGGATGGAGGAGACTTGTGATTTCATTAGAGCCTATTGGCTAAGGTTTTAGAGACACAATAAGAAACAGTGTTAGATCCTAGAGATGTTGAATGAAACCTGTTGAACTTGTGTTTAAACAGTGCTACTTCTAGTATTAGGAAGTGTCTTGTTAATAGAGAGCCAATGAGAACCAAGTCCCTACTTAGAGATATTTTAGAGTTGTACTGCATAGAGGCCAAGAAACAGCATATGACAGGTCTTTAATGCAGTACTCAAAGTTCCTTCAAAGTGATGGCAAATAGCAAGATCTCAATAAATTGGTTTCAAGATGAGGCAGGATCTGGTAACCCACACAGGTGTACTGTACTGTTTCTATGCTATCTAAATGATGCACAATAAGCCATCCAGGAACATAGCCACCTGTCCCCATTCCTACCATAATTAGTACAAGATTGGCTCTAATAGAAATTTGTAGTATACCTAAAAAATTGTACAGTAGCCAAAGGAAACCACATGTATGAGACTGACTCTCTCTCTCTCTCCTTCTGTGTTCTCTTGTCATAGTGCCATTGTATGATGCTGTCTGTCAGAGGCTTATGTTATGAAGCTGCGGAGGGCAGGGCCTAGGAACCAGCATAAAAGAGGTCCCTGGCAGGTGTCCATGTGGTGATGTCAAAACGTAGTTGTCACCCTCAACTTCACATCTGTGGATGTGGTAAACGTGGAGAGGAGGGTTGACATTTTTTGAAAAAGGTCTTCAAGAATATGTGAAAAAGTTGAGACTTTTACCATCTCATCACCCCATCTGCAAATTTGCTTAGAGAGATTCTCCTTTTCTCTTTCTGTTCTTGACCAATGAATGAATAAAGTTATGGCAGAGATAAAAGTTTGGGTCCTAGTTCCTGGAGTAAGCAGGCTCAGATACCACACCCAGAAGAGTATTCCAGGTTATTGAGGAGGGCTCCCACCTCTAGGAGAGTTGAGACATTATGTCTCTTGGGTGATTTAAAAAAATTGTGTTTCTATTAATTTACCTAGCTTATTTTGAAATATTCTTTTAAAATGTGGAGCAGATAGAGACCCAGGAGGGCAGATTTATGGCCTAGCTTCCTACCTCCCATTCCACCAGTCTCTTGGAGCTCCTCTGCAGAATCCTCAGGATCCTGACCACTACCGGATGACCTGCTGCATGCTGCTGTTTTGCAGAGGGTCTGAGCTGCATGAATAAGGATCATGGCTGTAGTCACATCTGCAAGGAGGCACCGAAGGGAAGTGTTGCCTGCGAGTGTAGGCCTGGTTTTGAGCTGGCCAAGAACCAGAGAGACTGCATTTGTAAGTATGGTCTGGAACTCAGCTGTATGAGGGACATCATACCCCAGAGGCTACCTTCCATAGCTCAGCATGAATATCTCCTGGCACGGGGAAGGCAGTTGGCACAAGTGCTGTCCTCTATCCAGTGCTTGGTTCACTGTATGAGGGTAGTCTCTGTAGGAAAGGGGAATGCTATTTAATTAATTAACTAACTAACTAATTAATTAGTACTGGGGATTTAACCTAGGAGCACTTAATACTGAGCTACATCCCCAGCCCTTTTTATTTTTTTATTTTGAGACAGGTCTTGCTGAGTGGCTCTGGGCCTTGTTAAGTTGCTGAGGCTTGCCTTGAACTTGCAGTCCTCCTGCTTCAGCATCCCAGGTCATTGGGGAATGCTATTTTAAAAAGAACTACTCAGAAGGAAATGAAATTAGGGAGTAAAGAGTGTGAATGTTGGGCTGGGGTTATAGCTCAGTGGTAGAGTGCTTACCTAGCGCATGTCAGGCACTGAGTTCAATCCTCAGCACCATATAAAAATAAATAAATAAAATAAAGATATTGTGTCCATCTACAACTAAAAAAAAAAAAAGAAAAGAAAGAGTGTGAATTTGGGGAATCAGCTCTTCTTCTTCCCACAGTATAAAATAAAATTCTCTTATCTGGCAGTTATAGCTCCTGGCTACCTGATCCCTGCTTTCTTTATAAGTCTCATCTGCCTCCTTTTCCCAAACTCAAAACTCATTGCCTTTTGGGGGGTGCCTCATCTTCTTGATACCTGTCAACCTTTTCAAGCCCTCCTCCAATCCTAGTGTGGTGAACTTTGGTTCAATCTTCAACATCCTACCTAACTTCTAATAATGACAAAGAACACACCTACAGTTTTTGGAGCATTTATTATGTGTAAAGTCTTTTCTCAAGGTATTCCACATTAATAATAACAACAACAATAACAATTATTATTATTATTATTTTGGCAGTATTGGGGATATAACCCCGGCTTGCTCTATCACTGAACTATATCCCCAGCCCTTTTTATTTTTTATTTTGAGACAGGATCTTGCTAGGTTACCAGGCTGCCCTCAAACTTGTAATTCTCCTACCTCAGTCTCCTGGGAGCTGGGATTACGGGTGTGTGCCTCCCCATTAATTTTTATAAGTATCACTCTATGACCTAAGTATTATTACTCCCAATTTTAGTTGAGAAAACTGTAGCGAAGATAAAGCAACAAGATCCCCTTGTGAGTAAGTGGGAAATTAGTTTCAACCTTAGGTCCTCCTGACTCTAAGGCTGTGCTCTTAATCTCCATACTTCAGTGCCTCAGAAGCCTTCCTAGTGGTAGCTGTTTTGTATTTTGGTTCCCATAGCACTTTGTTTCTTTCTCATAGTGTGTGACATTTTGATTTGAATTGTGTTTTCAAATGTCTGTCTCCCCAGTTATAAGCCATTCCAATCCAGGACTTTATCTCCCTTTTTGCTTTTCAGTCTTCTCTGTTGTCTACTGCAGGATGTATTCAGTGTGCACTGGTTTAACTAATAAGTGAATGGTGGTGTACAAATGTGGACACAGCTGCTGCACAATGGTTGTGGTAGCAAAACCCCAATGGGTAACAGGAAACGAATGGCAATTAATGGTGTTCCTAACCACTATTTATGCAGAGAGAATACTGCTATGGATAGTCATTTGCAGTGAGGAGACCTTAGTGGTTAAGAAATGAGGAGATGGGTTTACCTCAAAGCTTGCCAAACCATGGCTGGTGCCACCATCACCCTCAAATAACAGGCTTTGACAGGCTCTTACAGCCTCCTAAAGTGAGGTTGTCTTTGAGGGCTTTCAGGGGCAGAGCAGAAACCACTTCTGCCTCCAGAACTTCAAAGGAGGGCCCAGACCCCCCAAGACGCACCCATGGAATGAGACTCTCAGCATTTCAGTTTTCCAGGGGCCAATTGCTAGAGGTAGAGTATTATTAACTTGTTTTTAAAAATTTTAAATGCTTTTAAGTTGTCACTGTTTAAAGATTCAATATTCTTTAACATTCAAATAATCAAACAGAAACATTTGGAGAATAAAAAAAAAAAAGCAAGGTCCAGAATCCTACTATATAACTAGTTATTTTGATTTTTTCATATTCCTGTTTGGTTGTCATTCATGTGCATAAACAATCTTCACATACCTATAATCACAGAACAGCTGCTTTCTCACATCTCAAATATGTAATTAGTTCTTTTAAATTAGAAAAATTGCAAAGGCCGATGTAAAAATTCAAACACTCTAAATTAATCTCCCTCTCCCATTTCCTTTGTCAGAGGTGACTCTGTTAATAGTTTGGTGAGCACAGATAGCCTGGTAGTTGACATTTTTAATTTATTTTTTGGCCTGTCATCAATGCGTTCATACATAGTCTTCATAATTATTGGTTAATGCTGCATTAACTATGTGCAAAGAGTCATCATCTCCTCTGATTATCTTCCATTTTAGCAAATCTAGATGGAGTCAGAGAGTAATCCTAACATATATGTACAAATTAAATATTGTCAGTTTACTCCAGATATGAAGTGCTATGGCATTTCGCAAAGCCTCATACAGGCAAGTTTCATTAGTTAGAGCAGAGCAATAGCCTAGAATCTCTTAGTATAATTCCTCCCAACTCTGCCATCTTCACCCTCCCATATGACTTTGTTCAAACTTATGTTTCAGCATTTATTTCTATGATTTGTTCTATGACTATCTGCTTAGGCAGCCATGGACAGGGCCTGAATGGGAATTCTCTCTTTTATGCACAGAGCCTGGCATTCACTAGGCCCTCAAATACTTGCAGAGTAAAAATCAGAGTTCCTCCAAAGCAAACAACCCTGGTTGTGGAAACCTCAGTGCTTTATGTATTGATGCATTTTGCTCTCAGTGACCTGTAACCATGGAAATGGTGGGTGTCAGCACTCCTGCGAAGACACGGCTGAAGGGCCCGAGTGTAGCTGCCATCCACAGTACAAGTTGCACACAGATGGGAAGAGCTGCCTTGGTGAGTAGTAGTCCCCACACTGGGTGAGAGTCTGCCCCAACCTACCCACCGCTAACCTTCACCTTACCCTCACTGGAGTTTAGTGCTAGATGCAGGGTATTTCTGGTGCATCTGGCCCCAAACAGGCACTGCTGCTTCGATGGTGCAGTGGGAATGGTCTAGTTCTGGGCTAGAGGTCCCCCTCTCTCCCTGTGAGACCTTGGAAAGCCCTTCCTCCTTCACCTGGAAAACACATCCCAAAGGGCCAGGACAACACAAAGTTAGAGCTAGCTGTTTGTGATAATGCAGCAGGCTTTACAGTCAGCAGGAGCCAGGGATGCATATTTCTGGTGGATTGTCTGTCCTTTGCTAGTTCTATTTTAGAGGTTTCCAGGCTCAAGTTCTTTTTTGTTCTGAATTAAGGTTACTGAAATGAGCTGAAGCTTGCATTCCCTAGTGTCTCTTTGGTCAGTGCAATATACTTCCAAAACCTTTTCTACATTTAACATTTATAAGGATCTGTGGCCATTTAACACACAGTGTTTCTCTCAGAGCCTCATTATAGCACATTTTTATTGAGTGAACAGAGTCACACATTTTACATTGTTCTTGTGTCTGGGATTTCAGCAGAAATAGTTGTTGAAGGAATGAATAATGTGACTCATTCAGCCTGAGAACTGTGGTCTTTTGCTTCTCTTGTAGAGCGAGAGGACACTGCCCTGGAGATGACAGAGAACAATGCCACATCAGTGGCAGATGGGGATAAGCGTGTGAAACGGAGGCTGCTCATGGGTATGCACCTTCTCTCCCCTCCCCTGGCCACTGCCATTGTCCCTTTTCCTCCCCAGCTCACTGCACCAGGCCTGAGGTTGGGGGCCACGTGCCCTCAACCAGCTGGACTAGGGTGAGCTGCAAAGCCAAGGAGTGTCTGTTCTTCTCCCACTGCTGTTGCTTAGTCACCATCCAAGGTCAGGGGACTGTGGGAAGAGTACTGGCCAATCCTTCAGAATAATCAAATCAATGTCCTAGTGTTGCCCCAACTAGCTGTGACACTTGGCAAACTGCCCTGAGACTCTGACTCTAGGTCTTTCTTTAAAATGGATGTAATAGAATCTACCTCTTAGGCTTATCAGGAAGCTCAGTTAAGATAATAATATGCAAAAAGGCCCAGAGTCCAGGGCCTAGGACTTAGTGGGTGGCCAGGGGATGCCAGTTCCCTGCCTTCTGAGTTGCTATAATGAGAGAGGCGCTTTGGGCAGCCTCCAGCTTAGCATGGTTATTTGTCAGTTTTTGTGTCCACTGAGTCTTCCATTTCTGACTCAGCCAGTGTTAGTGGTAGGGGAGATGAATGGAGAAGAGTGGCACTTGGCTGTGGGATGTGGGATGGTTTGCCAGTAGGCCTGACAGTCCAGCTGGAGATGAAAGAGAAGTCGAGGCGGTGACTATAGGGATGGGGACCAGACAGTTCCTTTGACATTATTCTGGGGAGTTTGGCTCTATCTAAACAAAACTGATCTTTTGACAGCTTCTGGATTATAATAGGTGTAACAATGAACAGTCATCGGTTACCAAGCAGGTAACTTTTCTGCTCTTTAAAATTAATTTAAATTTGTCTTAAAATTAAAATAGTATACATTAATACTATAAAACCTTAATTACCACTTAGCTTATAATGAAATATATCATTTCCTTATCTCAGACCTTCTCATTTCCTCAGCCCTTTTTCCAGAGGCCATAATTCTCAATTCTCTTAGTGTTTTCTTTTTGCTCATCCTTACCCGAGGTCTGAAAAAAGGAAGTGTGCACTTTTTGCTATTGTTTTTAATTCTTTCTTTTCTTTTCTTTTTTTTTTTAGTTGTAGTTGGATACAATACCTTTATTTTATTTATTTTTATGTGGTGCTGAGGATCAAACCCAGGGCCTCGCCGCACTTGCTAGGCCAGCGCTCTCCTGCTGAGCCACAACCCCAGCCCACTTTTTGCTATTTCTTGATATGTCAGTTTCAGGTGTAGCTTTTGACTTCCCGTTGTGGAAGATTAGGTTTTAGCCCTCCCTGCTTCCCCTCCTCCAGCATACTTGCACATCTATCCTCTCACCCATGCCCTTAATAGTGTTCTATCACAAATTAAGTCAATATTACATGTTTATGTTATTGTGATGACCCATAGCTACATAGGATTTACCCTGAGTCACACAATGAGATATGATTGTATTTTCTTTGGTTAATTTTCTAAATACCTCCTTCCAATTCTTTGGCAAATCTCTTGCACAGCTTTCCAAAACCCTTTGCAGTGTGTTCAAATACAGCAGGATGCTTCCCAACTGGGTTCCCTTCTCTGGCCAGCCTAGCCTTAGGCTTCCCTGCTCTAGGAGGCCCAGCTCCTGCCCACAGCTCCTCTCTCAGCAAGTCCTTTCCCAGCAGCCTAGGAATTCCCTCTGCTGCTCTGTTTTGGAGGATCCCAAGTCTTGTCCTTGTCAGTACAACAAATGAAATTTCACAGTATATCCCTCAACTGTGAATTTTCCCACATGCTGAGTACTTAGTAGGCCTCTTCAAGATGGGAATTCAGGTTCCTTAGTTCTGAGAAATTTTCTTCCATATTTTCTTTACTCTATTTTCTCTGTTCTTTGTCTCTGGAACTCCTACTGGTTGACTCCCAAATTGATCATTTACTTTTCTTCTCTTTTTCCTTCTTTGTACTTTTTGCCTACTTTCTAGAAATTTTTTTCACTTTTTTTTTTAATCTTTCTACAGGATATATATATTTAAACTTCTGATTTCATATTTTAATTTTTCAGGAATTTTATTTGGTCTTTTGTTGTAGAAACTTATTTTCACTTCATGAATGCTTCTCTTATCTCTCTGAGGAAATGAGAAGATTTTAACTTCTCTTTTTCCTCCAAATTTCTTTTTCCCTGTTTGACTTGGTATATGTATTTCACATGTAGAGGCTTTCCTAAAATATGTGGTGTTTTTTTGTTTGTTTGTTTTTGTTTTTTAACCTAGGGGGTTGAACCCAGAGGTACTTTACCACTGAGCTATATCCCCAGACCATTTTTAAAATTTTTTTAAAAAATTGAAACAGAGTGTGGCTTAGTTGCCCAGGCTGGCCTAGAAGTTGAGATTCTCCTGCCTCAACTTTCCAAGTCACTGGGATTACAGGTATATGCCGCTATGCCCAGCAGTCTAGTGATTCTTGACTGATTTTTTTCACATTTAATTGTGAATCTAAAAAGCCAATTGGAGGGGCCGGGGCTGTGGCTCACAGTGGAGTGCTCGCCTAAGCACATGTGAGCTGCTGGGTTCGATCCTCAGCCGCATAAAAAATAAAGGAATAAATAAAATAAAGGTATTGTGTCCAGCTACTACTAAAAAAATATTTTAAGAAAAGCTAATTGAATATTCTGTTGGCCAGTGGACTTCATGTTTAGGTGATTAGAAGTAACTTAACTGTTTCATTTAAAGATCCTCGAATACCAGTACTTATAAATCTTTTTACTTAGGCAGGTCAATTTAGCTAGACAGGATTCCTTCCATTACCTGCCTAGAGAATATAAACTTAGCTGCCAGGCTTCTAGGAGCTGGTATGGGAGGCTGTGGGCTAAAGATCTCTCTTCTCAGGGAATAGACTTTTACTCGACCCTTCCTCCCTCTCCTCCTCTGCTATTCCTGGCACTTCTCTGGTCCAGCTTCTCCAAAGCATAAACTCCTCTTGCTGTAGCCAGATTAGGAAAGAGGTAGTCACATGACTGTTCAGAATTAAGAAGGAGCTCTGGGGGTTTGTCTGCCTCTTATACAGACTCTCAATTATCCTTCTATTTTAACTCAGTCTTCACCTCTGCTTCTAAAGTAACTTGACACCTCCAATTCCTCCAATTTGGACCATTCTTTGATTCTGTTATTCAAGTGAGCTTTGCTACTTATAGGTAGCCCTTCTGCAGATTCCTAGAATTTAGCTTTCTGTTGTGCCAGTTACTGTTCCTCCATTGACATGCCACTTCCAAAATATTTGATATCTTTCATATGTTGTCTCTTCTTCCTTTCCTGTCCTTAAGGATTTATACTATAAAAAATTGATTTACTCCCATTTTAGTGAGGTTTTTGAGAGGAAATAGAGAAAAACATATATATTACAGATGTCATTTTAATTAGAACTCAGCTTGTTTCCCCAGGGTTTCAAATTCTGTAGTCATGGAAGTAAAATGATGTTCTATGTGTCTAGATGCCAACAATGGAATGAATGTCGAGTCTCACTTTCCTGTTACTTGGAATAACTGTTGTGAAATGCAGAACTAGCAGGCCCTTTGCTTATTGTTCCTCCTCTGCATAGTTGCAATATAACTAATATGGCTTATTTTTCATTTACTTGACAGGCAATTTAAGTCATTAGTTTTAAAAATGGGATGGCTGGGGTGGGCAGTGCTTATTTACCCTTTCTTGCCGTGTCCATTACTAAGCATTACTAAGACTGAAAAAAGTAGATTTGGGATTCAGAAAAGAACATTCCCCTTTGCACTGCACTCTCATCTCGCCTGCCAGAAGTGATCATTCTTAGCAGTTTGCTGGTTATGGATCATCAGGAACTTTTTTTTTTTTTTTTTTTTTTTT